CAGTCTCTCAAAGTGCTGGGATTACAGGCATGAGCCACCAACCCTGGCCCACTGCTTAATTTTATCAGCAAATATAAGACTAAACCTCTTGTGTAAGAATGGTAGGCAGAGTGTAAGGTGTGTGTTTTTAAAAAAGCGGCAAAGATCTGAAATGTTTTCTGTAGGAAATGGTGTAAGAAATCTTCGTGTATACTTAAAACCTTGCTGTGCAGATTTTGTGCACAGCTGAAACTGTTGACCTTAAATGTATGATGATAACAACCCTTGTGACTTTCTATGGAGGGTCCCTCTGGCTATTAAATATTAATTAAAGGTATGATGTGCTTAACATGTGGCAAAGGTAAGTACTGATATAAAAGAAGATGCAGAAGAGGACACAATAAATCACTGAAGGCCTAATTGTGGAGGGAAACAACACATATGAATAGCATTAACAACATAATGTTAAGTTATTAGATCAACTGTGTGATAGTATAGTGCATAAATTCCCAAATAAGAAACTAATTGGTAAAAGAGGTAGAATTTGACCAGTTCCTTGAAAATATGGTGTTGGGGTCCAACAGGCAGACCCATATCCAATGATGGATGAATAAATTCACTCAGGCACAAATTATCAGTGAAAGAGTGGCTTGGGGTGTCTGTGCCATTCACCAGAAGGAGTTAATGGCCACCAGCCAGCTGGTACTCTCGGCATTTATTTAGTATAGGTTTAATAACAGAGGCTCTGAGCCAACACACTTATGATAATGATTAAAGGCCAGGTTCCGAGGCCTAAAGCAAACACCATTTGCGGTGATAAATCTGGTTGCCCTTTCCCTGAGAGAACCATCTGGTCTACAAAAGATTAAACGTTAGTTTTAGGATGCATGAATCAACAAGTTATTCAGATAAACTCCCCCACATTGCCTAGTTATTTGCTTTTCTTTATCAACTAAAGGTAAAGTGGATTAGGCTGCCTTCAGCTGAAGCTTCCACTGAAACTATGCAAACTTCTCAGTCTTTCAAGGTTTGTGACTATATTCTATAATTTTACAATTTCTCCTACCATCCTTAGTGAACCCCCACATCATGGGCAGGATTTGAAGGGGTGTATCATTTAAATCAAAAGAAGATATCATAATGTGAATACAATTTTTTAAATCTTTTTTTGAAAGGGGGTGTCTTACTCTGTCATGAAGGCTGGAATGCAGTGATGCAATTTCACTTCTGCCTCCTAGGCTCAGGTGATCCTCCTACCTCAGCCTCCTGAGTAGCTAAGACCAGAAGACTAAGCCACTATGCTTGGCTTTTTTTTTTTTTTTTGGTATTTTTTGTAGAGATGAGTTCTTGCTGTTGCCCAGGCTGGTCTCAAACTCCTGAGCTAAAGCTATCCTCCTGCCTCTGCTTCTGCCTCCCAAAGTGCTGAGATTATAAGCATGAGCCACTGCATCCAGCCAATAAAATATTTTTTACTGCTTTGTGTATACAACACCTTATCTACTATAGTGACAAACATACAGGAATGAGATATACTTTCTTGGCCCTCAAAAATCTTAAATCTATTGAATAAAGGCAAGATTGGTAATGGCTGGATCTTGGAGCACTGAAAAGCCCCAAGGAGGGTAAACTTTTGGAGGTTCCTTGGGAAATAACCCTGGGTAATTGAGTAGATGTAACCAAGTCCAGTTTGTTGGATTGCATACAAAAAAACCAAACTTTTACACATATGAGTTCAAGCAAAAAAAAATGGCTTAATTAGCTTTAAGAATTCAATAACAGGGCTATTATTAGGGAGCAGTAACAAAGAAATCCTAACAATTGTGGTTATAAAACTCAAGACACTTATAACTCTTTCTGGTGTAGGTGCCTGTCTTTGGTTTCAATTTTTTAAATGATTTCTAAAGAGTTAAGGTTTGCATTGTGCTTAGCAGCATAAATATGACACATCTGTACATATCTGAATTTTTTTAGATTTTTATACTTATGTCCTCAGGAGCCTTATAGTTTGGGGAAAACTACCACATAAGCCCCACTATACCCATTTAAATGTGGATTGTATAGCAAGGAATCAGTGTATAGAGAGCCGGAGAACCACATTTAAATTTGTCCAACATTTATCCTGAGCTGACATGTTGCAAGTGGCATTTAAGATATTGTAGGTGGCAAATTCAAATATGCAGTATTAACATAAAAACAGATTACTTGAGAAGAATAAGAAACATTACTTTAACAAATAGAACCTAAGAAAACGTAATCAAATGGCACCTTTTGTTGTTGTTGCTGTTTTGAAGGGAAAGCAGTTTTGCTCACTAAATGCTAGCACTTGGGGTAATGGCCAAGCTAATGCCGTCAGTAGACCACTGCAGCATTTTGGGCTGAGTGAAGAAGTTTAAGAAGGAAAAGTATGGAATACATGTGGGAATTGTGCAGGAGGGTACAGGCCTGTGTGTCTTGTCCTAATGGCTATCTTGAGTAATCACCCATCTGGAGGTCCAGTTCATGTCATCCTGACTTCAGCCTGGTAGTGCTGGGCTGTTTGTAACTCACCTTAAGTGGGAGGATTTCAGAGTGTGGTCTCTCTGCCTGGTTTGCTTGAAAATTAACCTCTGGACTTTCTAAGCAAGCACATAATTAGATAAGCAAGCACGGTTCACAGAAGTGCCTGGTGGCAAATGGAGAAACACACAGTTTCAAAGTATATTTCAAGGCTAAAAGCAATAAAGGAAAAAAAAAATTTCTTAAATGCATTTTGAGGCTGGGATACTCAGTTACAGAGTTAGACTTGGAAAACTGTGGAATAGAAGCTCCAAATAAAAAACAGGTCAGAGCCAGAGAAGTGCCTTTAAAAGGATCTTTTGGTTGGAAAGAGGCAAGAGAGGAAAGTGGGGGGGAAATTAGAGCTGTTTCTGCTAAGGAAGGCATCCAGCGAGCCACACAGGGACGCTGGGAACCTGCGAGGGAAGACTGCACTAGGCCAAATGTTGGCTGACTGTTCTGCTTGTAGCTGAGCCTGAGCACCAAGGAGGTTCAAAAGACAGTGTGCAAAGCGAAGAGTGCACAGACCAAAATCAAGCAAAAAAGCCTGGGGGCAGGGAGAGGAGAAAAATGGAAAGGAAAAGAAGGCAACATTGAAAATCCTTTATGAAGGGGCCACATAGGAGACCAACACAGTGCCTGAAGTCTAAAAAGAGCCTGAGCTACACCAATTCACTGCTTCTATGGTTGTTTATCAGATGAAATACTTGAATTGCATTCTCATGTACATGAAAAAGCATTTTAAACACTCTCTGTGCATCAAAATGCTATGAGACATCTGTGAACAACGAGTTATGGAGCGGGAAGAACTACTGATATAAAGAAAAGTCTCAGTATGTATCTCTTGTCCAAGGTCATGTGCCCTTTGATGGGAAGGATACAATCTGATGCACTGTTTAAACTGGTATTTCTCTCTCAATATTTTGAGGGACTCAAACAAATATGCCTTGAAAATTATATGCACTTATTTTGCAGTGCTATAGTATAATAATATATTTCAACTTATGCTATGTTTTTAAATTTTTTCCCATTTAAACTTCTTAACAAAAATTTTATATGCTTCCATGTTTATGTAATATTTGTGATAAGAATGCCTATAAAATATGATATTCAGATTCAACTAACTTGCATTAGGGTGCTCAGTGGGAACCAGTGTGCTACTCATTAACATGTAACACTTATATCATCCTTGTATCGTTGCTGTGAAATATGCTTTAAAAAACGTTTTGACATATAGTAATTATAGATTCACAAGAAGTTGCAAAATATAGTACAGAGAAGTTGAATGTATCCTTTATTCAGATTTCCTCAGTGGTTGTATTTTAGATAACTACGGTAAGATATCAAAACCAGGAAGCTGACACTGATACAGTGTGTATGTCTAGGTCAATGGCATTTTCTCAGGTGTAGATTTATGTAACCTCTACATTCAAGATATAGAACTATTCCATTACTGCAAAGATCTCTTCTGTTCTACCTCACCCCTTCCCCCTCCATCAGTAACTCTTGGCAATCACTAATCTGTCCCACATCTTTACAATCTTGTAATTTCAAGAATATGATATAATATAATCAGAATGCATAATGTTTTGAGACGAGAATATTTTTCTCGGCATCATGCCCTGAGGCCCTTGCAAATTGTCCCATGTATCAATGTTTTGTTTTGTTTTATTACTGAGTAGTATCCTGTGATGTGGCTATTCTATAGTTGTTCAACTGTTTATCTACTGAAGAACATTTTAGTTGTTTCCAGGTTTTGGCTAATTCAAATAAAGAGGCTATGAACATTCGTGTACCATGCTTTGTGATGTAGGCATTCATAAAGACATTTCGGGGCTGAGGCTGAACATTTAAATAAATTCTCTGAAATGCAATGTTACTCAGCCACTGGCTAGGCATCAGAACCCAGATAATTTTATTTTATCTCATGTGCTATCTCCACAATGTCACATTACCTGAGAAAAAACAGTTATGCAGACACAGTAGAAAGGTAGTGAAATATATTTATTTACTTCTTGATAAAATGTTGATTTTCGAATAAGATCTGCTCACTGGTTTGATTGTTTTTAGCCTATTAGGTGCTAAGTTCTGTGCTTATTGTTGAAGCAAAGTGTCTGCCCCACAAAAGATTTTACGAAATACAAAATACCATCTTTATAGCATGTTGGTAGCTTGTGCTATGCTGTTGGTTTAACAGTTTTAAATTTTAGTTGGAAAAATGTTCATTTAGTTAATCTGAATGCTACAATAATATGTAAATGCATAGTCTGAAATTTAAATGTGCTGAAATATTTGGGTTAATAGACTTGGCTTTATCTTAGGAAGACAATTGCTGAGCATGTATGCACAAATACAGTATTTAATTTTGCAAGGTATGCAATTCAGTACTTCTTCCAAATAGAGATGAGGTTCAGATGAATTTTTGTTGTAGCTTATTCACAAATTAATTACTTCTTCGTTTATTTTGTGTTCCTTTCCCCCAATAGCATAAGAAATTAATCAACCGTCCACAGAGTACCAAAAGAATTTCTAAGGATCCTCTAGGTGAGGAATATTTGCTTTGTCATTATTATAGTTCTTCCCCTCCTCGCTTATATGGTATATATGTGTGAATCCTTTTATAAAAAGGAATAGAGAAAGTGACTTTCCAATTAAATAATCATTTAATTTTTTGGCCTAATAAATAGTTATTTCCTGGGAAGTTATACACAAATTAACTAAACTAGCATTTTTTAAGCTACACGTAATTAAAGTTGAGTTGAAATCTAAAGGAAATGCGAATGTTACTGAGTTTTATTTTATTTATATGACTAGCAATTGCTTAGTTTATTAAATAGATGACTATACTTTGAGCTGAAATGTTGACTCTTAAGTCGTAAATCTTAAAGTGTAGTCAACTCAAATCAACATGTGAAGTCCATCAATTTGAAATTGAGGTATGTATTGGCATGAAACCACAAGACACATTTAATATTTGGTTGTCATGACACATAATTGAATAACATAATGCTACAGGTTTCAGGGTATAATCGGAAACTTTTATTCTATTTTAGCCTTTGAAAAATTTTATGTTGTGATGTTAGCAGCTACTAATGTGATAATTTATTGGTCTTCAAAAGACATCAACAAGGATGTTCTTACCAGTGCATCAGGCCCACTATGGATGATACAGAATTCCAATCAGGGGTTGCCCTTATGGATTAATACAGAAAATGTTCAGGTCTTACTAAACTCCATTAGGCATAGCATAGAATAAACTCCACATTATAAACCCTCAGGGATAAATAAACTCTGTTTAAAAAAAAGAGCAGATGATATAGAATACAACAACAGCAATAGATGAAAGCTTTGCAAGTTTAATAATGCTGTTAACCTTTGAAGAATTTGATGTCCAAATAGAAGCATAATCACTGCTATCATCAATAGTCACTGGAGAAAACAAAGAGTAGAAGGATCCTTCTTATGGGTACTAGGAAGTTCTCATTTATTACACAGGTTGGGAGATATTTGCTCTCACACGAATCCTCCCACGTGACCAATGCCACAAATCCTCCCACATGACCAATCAGAACTGCTGTAGAAGGGATGCTGGTAGATGAGGTTAGACATTTTGAGTGGGAGAAAACTCTGAAAAGTTTGAAATGCCAAGTAAAGAAGTTTAGACACTAGGAAGACCCTACAATAAATTTGTTAACAGGTGATTGACAAGATCAGATTAGACTTTTAAGTGATCCAAAACTGACAGCAGGGATACAAGTTAGAACCCTGGTTCCTGCAATAGTTAAGGAAGAAGCTAGGTAGGACATGGTTAAGACTGAGTCAGCGGGCAGGCAGGGTGGCTCACACCTGTAATCCCAGCACTTGGGAGGCTGAGGAGGGTCGATCATGAGGTCAAGAGACCATCCTGGCCAACATGGTGAATCCCCATCTCTACTAAAAATACAGAAAAATTATCTGGGCTTGGTGGCATGTGCCTATAACCCCAGCTACTCAGGAGCCTGAGGCAGGAGAAGCAACAGAGCAAGACTCCCTCTCAGAAAAAAAAAAGAAAGAAAAGAAAAAGAAGAAGAAGATTGAGTCAGCAAGGTAGGAAAATAGAGCAAATATTTGAGATGCTTAAAATTAGGAACATCAGGACTTGAGTGCAGGGGATAAGAAATAGGCTGTGAACAACATCACATGTCTCAGCTTGCTCAGCTGAGTGGTCTCACTAACTAAGAAAGTGAATAAAGTAAAGGAAGATTGAGTAGTGAGAAGGAAAGTCTATCACTGGTTATCTTGATTTTAGAAATATGACATTTGTATTGGCTGTAGTGTACATTGATAGAGATAATTAGAAGATGAATATTCTGAGTGCTATTCCAGGATTTAAGAGAGCAATGCCAAAAGATAAAGATTGGGTAGATCTAGGATATTTCACATAGGTAATGGTGACGGTAACGTCAGTAAGAGTTGATGCATTCATTGAGGGGAGAGGACAGAAACAGAAGAGGCCTGAGATAGGATGTAGTAATGTGGCAGTGTTAGGAGGAAGAGGGTTAGCAGAGGGAAAAGAATACGGGAAGGAAGACAGCTGGCAAAGGGCAAGAGAGGAAGGAGAAGAACCAGGCCAGGCCAGGAGAGGAGTAAAATGCTCCATGGAAGTCAGAGAAGACGCAGGCCAGGACCCAGTGCAGTGAGTAATAATTAGGAAGCCTCTCACAAGATTGGAAAGAAAGGCTTCGATAGAATTTTGAAGAAGGGCACACAACCCTAAAGCAAAGGTTTAAGTAGTGAGTCCATAGTGAGGAACTTAAGACCTCAAGTTTACATTAGACATTAAAAGAATATGTGGTAAAAAGAAGGAAAGAAATAGCACAATTGCTTGACGGCAGTAGCAAGGAAAGAGGAGGCCTGAGAGTGTTTGTAAGAAGCAAGAAAGGAGCCTTGGTGAGGAGATTAAGGGACAGGTGTGAAGGGAAAATACTTGATGAAAAACGGTGGGAGGGATGGAATCCAGCAAACACAGAGGAGTGAGATTTTGTAAGAAAGTCATTTTGAAATGATAACAAAGGAGAACGCAGGTCAAACGGCTTTGGGTAAAGTAGGAGAAGCAGACAGTTGCTGAGTGAAACAGAATGAGAGTGAGACTGGGGCTAAAGAATGGGAGAAAAGATTTATGCAATTGTTATGAAAATATTTATATTGAGTTTAGAAAATTTATTTTTAACAGATTTTCAAGCGACTAAGGGCTCAAATGGTTTAAATAGCTTACAGTTTGTTGATCACATTCAACGTATTTCATAACCTCAGGCAGCCCAGGTAATTGAATGCAATCTGAATAATACAAGATTCAGACTGACAAATTGAGAACAATGAAAACTGAAAAAGACAATAGGATTTTAAGGTGGACGCAAGACCATCGTTGATGTACATAGTTGATCACTAGGAGCAGTGCAGATACACAGATATGGGAGATCCTGCAGAGGTGATTGAATGACTGGGGGGCACCAAGGAATCATTATCTTAGTGATGGCGGCAAAGAGCATATTGAGCAGAAGCAAAGGAATAGAGACCATGGAATAAGTTTAGGAGGTAGAATTCAGCAGTAATATTAAGGGATCGAAGCCCTGGAGGTAGAATAACTCTGGTTGAGTATGAAACATGAAGAAGATTGACCATGAAAGTCAGTTTCTAGTTTGGAGTCATGAGACATGTCATTGGATTTGACGAGATTAAAGAGCCATATTATCTGGGTTAGAGGTGTGAATGATTATCAGCAGGGCTGCTGATGAAGTTGCCTGCAGAGGGTTGCTGATGATGTGGATGGGAAGAGAAAAGCCTGCCCAGATGGCATGGACTTCAAAATGAACACATTGCATGGAGGTAGCAGAACACTGGGTTGAAAGTGACGATGGAGAACAAGGAAGTGCCGGCCCCTTTTCCTCATTTTCACAGAAAGGTGACTTTATGTTGTAAAATCAGAGTGCAATTTACAGGAGTGGGTAGGAGGAAGAAACAGATGAGTAACGGAAGGCAGATAGAATGCTTGGTTAACACCAGACCAGGGAAAGTGGTGCAGAGGGGAGCATGAGAGTGGGAGAAAGTGGCTATGATGCAGGAGAGGGCTGGAAGGTGAAAGGAGAGATAGTAGGGCACAGAGGTTTTATTCAGAGTTATGGATCGAAATTACATATCAGTGACAACCATAACAACAGGTCAACAGGAGTCAACAGGGAATGCCCAGTGGAAAGTGTTGGTGTAAAAGATCTTCCACAGAATTGTTTTTGGGTGGTGGATCGTGGCGTGTGTGTGTTTGTGTGAGTGTGTGCATAGTTAGGGATGTATGTGAGAATTAACTAGCTACTGGTATTATTTATGCATCAGGTTAGTACTAATAAGGAGAAATAGGTTTTGAACCTAAAAAGACCCTTTAAAATCAGTGCTACTCTGCCGGGAGTGGTGACTCACGTCTGTAATCCCAGCACTTTGGGAGGCCAAAGCAGGCGGATCATGGGGTTAAGAAATCAAGACCATCCTGGTTAACATGGTGACATCTCATCTCTACTAAAAATACAAAAATAATTAACTGTGCATGGTGGTGCACACCTGTAATCCCAGCTACTCAGGAGGCTGAGGCATGAGAATTGCTTTAACTAAGGAGGCAGAGGTTGCAGTGAGCTGAGATTGCACCATTGCACTCCAGCCTGGGCAACAGAGCAAGACTCAGTCTCAAAACACACACACACACACACACACACACACACACACACACACACACACA